TTTAAAAGACTTATGAAATTTAAATATTTTTACGTATTCATTGGCTCTGGTAGTTTTAAACATGGTATATAATATAGTTTGAAATAAAAATGGATTAGCCTTGATACAAAACAGATATAAGCTAAGAGCTGTGCTCACTCTACTTCCTTGTTATCTTGAACTGAGCTACACCTCGAGCAGTTGAGATCTGATGATAGCATGGCTGATACATGTTTGCGCTTTTTTTTCTCCTTGGACTTAAGATGAGAGAATATTGATGTGTGTGTGTGTGTGTGTGTGTGTGTGTGTGTGAGAGAGAGAGAGAGAGAGAAAGGATATACTTGTTTTCCCGTTATTGCTAGTCTAGTCTTTCAAGTGCAAAACCATTCAGATTTTGTTGCCTTGATATTTTACTGAGTTCTTACCACCATTTGGAATCTACTTATTCATATAGACTCATCTTAAATAAGGGGAGAAAACATGTTTCTGAAATGAAATTACAAATTCTCTATACATTACATGATCTCCCTGAGAAGTTAGTTCAACATCTAGAAAATCAGAAAAATCAGCCTGGCTTATTCAGGTATGGATTATCTGATATGATTGTTAAATCATTATTGGGCTAGTGTAATAGAAGTTGTTTCAAGTTATGCCTCACTTTGAGCAAACTTTAGTGGCGCTTTTACTGCATTAGCCCTAATTACTCACAATAATGATGCAGTGCTCCCTTGAATCAGACCTCCATGGCTGCACCAGGGAACTGCAGCTGATCAATAGCTATTGAGCAGTTTGATCACCAAGGCTTATCTGTTTGAGCACCTCCGGCAGCCACCGCCATCCTCCCTCCCAGTAGCTCACAAACTGACATGTTCCCAGCTCGCCACTCCCTCCTGCATCTCCTCGATGGCCCCCTTTTACAAATCAATAATGTCATAATCAGTATGCCTCTGAGACTCTGAGAAAGTAAAAAAATTGCCTGAAACAAAAACCTTGGGGACCCATATAGCACATGCATATAGGCATACAAGCTAGAAAACACGTATTTGTAAACCCTTGACCCATATTCATTTCTCCCATACTGTATTGTTTATAACATAAGGTGGGAATGTTCCTTTATTGTACTTTTATCAAAGATCACCTATTTGAAAACAGTACTGTTCTTACTAGAGACTGAGAAATTATTTGGCGAGTATTTTCCAGCAGCCTACAAAGTGCCTGTCAAATGTTTTTCATTTAATTGTTATTATGCCTGTAATCCCAGCACTTTGGGAGGCTGAGGCGGGCATATCACCTTAGGTCAGAAGTTCGAGACCAGCCTGGCCAACACAGTGAAACTCCCGCCTCTACTAAAAATACAAAAATTAGTCGGGCATGGTGGCATGTGCCTGTAATCCCAGCCACTCAGGAGGCTGAGGCAGGAGAATCGCTTGAACCTAGGAGGCGGAGGTTGCAGTGAGCCAAGATTGCGCCACTGCACTCCAGCCTGGGTGACAGAGCAAGACTCCATCTTTAAAAAAAACAAAAACAAAAACAACAAAAAAGGCAGTTTCAAGATTATGTTTTTCTCAGATGTCTCTCATCATATTTAATGCTGTAAAAGCACACAGCTACTGCCTCTCAATCATTTGTTTCACTCAGTGATTATTTACTGAGCATGTAACATGTGTCAGGAACTGTACTAGGTATTTTTGCATCCATTCTTTTTAAATTTTTTTTTGTTTTATTTTTTTGAGATGGAGTTTCGCTTTGTCACCCAGGCTGGAGTGCAGTGGCACGATCTCAGCTCACTGCAGCCTCCACCTCCCGGGTTCAAGTAATTCTCCTGCAGAAGACTCCCGAGTAGCTGGGATTACAGGGGGATGCCACCACATCTGGTTAATTTTTGTATTTTTAGTAGAGGCTTCGCCATGTTGGCCAGGCTGGTCTTGAACTCCTGACCTCAGGTGATTCACCCACCTCGGCCTCTCAAAGTGCTGGGATTACAGGCGTGAGCCACCATGCCTGGCCTGCATCCATTATTTCTAAATAAAATTTCTAATTAATTGAATTACTTCAGCACCTTATTATGTCTATACATGATTTCTTAAATTTGTTTTATAAGCCACCTAGTTTAACTCTTCTTTCCTTTTTCTTTTCTCCCTGTAATTGTCTGTGTTTCCAAAACCATTCTGTAGAAATGATAACCTATTAAAAAATAAGCTGATCCTTGCCTAAAGCCAGAAGTAATTCTACCTTGTTTATAGTGAAAGATGAGGAAAGGCGCTTGAAAGAAAACAAAAATTAAGTGAGTTGTTTCGTCAGAAATATATATTACTGTACTATATATGTTACTATATATTTCAAGCACCTAATTAAATAAGATCAAATCCAGAAACTATTAACTACCTACTATGTGCTTGGCTTTGGCTAAAGCTCTCTCTCTACCTCATCAAATTATGAGCTTCATTCACTGTTCTCCAAAAGAAGTAGAAGTCCATATTTATGGGAAAAAAAATCTGCCTTTGCTCATGTTGGGACTATGACAGAAGTGGGAATCCACTGGAAATCGGGCAGTAAATCAGGAAATTTGGGTTCCAATCCAACTGTATGACCTCAGGCAAATCTCTGAATCTCAAGAGGCCTCAGTTTCTTCACGTGTGAAACAGAGCATTGGCCACAAGCCCAGCCTGTGTGTTTCTAGCTCTCCCAGGTTTGCGGGAAGCTTTTTATCTGTGGGGAGTGAAATCTCAGGAAGGTCTGTCTTCCAGCACCTGGGGTAGATATCTGGCCTGTTTCCCCTCAAAAGTCCAGCTCAGCAGCCAGAGACCCGGAAATGGACCAAATCTGTGAAATTCTCATGAGGGTCTCGTTTAAGTACTGCCAAAAATAAACAGCCCGTTCTTGCATCCTGCAACAGGGGCGTCTGGGCTCAGCTCTGATTACCAGGGAGTCAAGTATAAAAGTGTAATACCCACCTGTTTCTACTGCCCATTTGGCATATTTGTAAATTATTTACTGGATGCACTAGAGGAGGCAGGCCCATATAAGCATGTGATCCCAAGAATAAGTTCTCTCACAATGAAGGGAAAGAGTGCAGGGGAGGAAAATAGGGGACCACCTGTCTTTTGCCTCAGAGGAATATCTGTGCATGGCAGGCAAAGGTGGAAACACAAAGGCTAATTTCTCAATCCATAAAGGGAGGTCTCCAGTGCTTAATCGACAAGGTTGAATAACCACTGATCTGGGTGGGTGCAGAGCATAGCCCAAATCTTTTGCTTAAGCCAAATGATGTCTTCCTTGAAGTCAGCCATAGCACCAGTTCCCACTTCCAAGACTCTGCCCAACTTGCTCCCTTTGTTTGGACACCCTCCCTCCAAGGTGCTACTAATCCATCAAATCTCAGGGGCAACTTCCTCTGCATTTCTCTGTGACTTTCCCTCCTTTGTCTTCTTCTTGTACTCCTCACTGTCACCATTTACCTGGCAATTCCACCAAAAACTTTTTGTTTCACACCAAGTAAAGGCTCATGATCATATTTGAGAGATGACCCCATTCCTTCAGAGCAAGAGTTTTCAAATGGCTGGAGAGAACACCAGTTCCAAGAGATGTTAAGAGAGAGTCCCAGAAAAAAGGGTTGTGTGTTCAGATATGATCCTGCAACCTCACAATGCACATTGGTCAATGCAAGGCCCTGAAAAGCCCTGCAAGAAAGAACCACGGGTAAGGAAGCAGCTTTTCCTACACCTACTTTTCCATGAAAACATCCTTTATCACAAAACACCTACTAGTATTTTGCTGAATTCAACTGGGGGAAGTGTCATTCCAAGTGTTTCTTTCTGTTATTTCAGTTGGGCTCATTTTCTAATTACCAGTGCTTTCCATGAAGGAGGTAGTTATATAGACAAGTTGAGTTCTTTACTCAAAGCAAACTGCTAAATTGAAAAATGAATTTGGACTAAATATTAAGAATGAGTCTCTTCTTGGGTTTCTAATCATAACAGGCCTTTCTAAATACTGTAATGTGCTTGCCACATTTACATTAATATGTTAATTCAAGAAATATGTATGTAACATTGTCATGCTGCATGTCAGGGAGATAGCAAGAATCTAAATAGTTGACTCTGCCTCTGAGGTATGTGCAATTTTGTTACATGGGAGAAGTTGCAGTCTGTGAAATGATGGGAACTGCATGGTAGACATTCTGGGTATCCTGGAGGAGCTGTGACTAGCTGTGTTTTAAGGACTTGTAGGATGTGATTAGGAATTGAGTAAGGCTGTCTCCAAGTTCCGGTGTTAAGTCAAACCCAAGGCCTCTCTTCCTGGAGGCAGGGATGAGCTTGACACAGTGGAGGTGGGCACAGGGGCTGGTGGGAGGCACTGTGGGGAACAGAGGTGGAAAGGACCAGGCTGTGGAGAACTTGAGATATCTAAATAAGGAGTTTATATTTTATCCACTGTTGGCGAGGACTCTGGGAACTACTGAGAAATTCATCAATTCATGGGTAGGAGGTATCGATGCATCAATAAATCAGTGATTACTGTCTTTCAACCCTGATGAGCAAGGGACAGTGAAATGCACTGGTTGAGAGCATGGGCTTTGGAATCCTGACTGTCCACAGGTTCTTGGGGCAGGCTTCTTTACTCTTAGCTTCCTCTTCTGAAAATGAGGATACAAGTGTTTATTTTATGAGCTACAAGAAATAACATATATAAGGCCCTTGATGTAGAGATTAGTAATTCCTAAGGCTTGACAAAGAGTGATTAATAATGTTAGCATTTAGTTGCTACTCAGTGGACCCATGTTAGAATAAAGTGAAGAATGTTCCAGAGTACCCACCCTCCACATTCCCAGGAGATCTCCTTCTTTTCTCAGATCTCCTCCCACTTCAAAGAGCCAGTGCTGAAACAGCTCCCATGTCCAGAGTCTATGGGACGATGGCAAAACAGAGTACTCTTACCTGTATTCGACAGGCCATTCTCAGTGGGCTTTCTCCACATTCGTCTTGCTTGGGGTGAACCCAAAGCATCTGAAAAGTGCTCACCTGCGTCCGATGTTGCTGCGGATGCAGCAAGGAGAGATAACACTGGGGCTGGTGGAATTGCAACACTGTCAACTGCGGCTGGCTTCTTCCTGGTCATCATGGTGGGCACTGAGCCTTCGTTCTTACTATGCACTGCTGTCTGGTCCACTTTTAAGTGGGGACTTGGCATCCCTAAAAAATAACAACCCCAAAGCTTTCAGTCACTTTAAGGGAACAGGAAGATAGACAACATATAACCTGGACATGATCTGAGGAAATGGTCAAATGATTTGAACACCTCCCTCTGGTACAACAAGAATGAAATTTAAAAATGCTTAAAGAGGAAAAATAGCTATGACTGGCTTTGCTTTTGTGGCTGAGGTTAGGAGTGATGCCATTCTAGGCTGGCTGTCTGGAAGTGGTGGGGTCACAGCATAGGCCTAGTGAAGCAGAATAATCCATCAGGTGACCCTTTGCCTTCTGATGATGTACATTCCTATCTTTACAGAGGCTGTGCTGTGTGCAGCATGATGGGGAGTTCAGAGTGGAAGAGACATGGCTCCGACCCTAGTAAGACTTCTCATCTCATCCAGCTGGGGAAACAAGACTGAGTGAGAAGGAAAAATTGGACAGCAAGCTTGTGCAGGCTTGTGTGTTACTTATCCTAGGTGTTTGGGGAGTTCTAAGGACGTAGAGATCAGTGTTGAAAGAAGTGGGGAAAGGCTCATGCTGAAGCTTCAAGGATGAGGGAAAGGCACTTTCGGTAAGAGCATAGGCTAAGGCATGGGAGGGGAGTAAACATGATGCAGATGAGGCCAGCATACTGGAGGTGGAAGATGAACTGTGGGGATTAGTGTGTCATCAGCCTGTAGGGTAAGGAGAGCTGATTTGGGGGCCTTTGAGTGTCTGGTCATAACAGGCATCATATGTCATGTCGGTCATAACAGGCATCATATGTCATGTCATGATGATGCTGAAAAGCCTGAGGAGTCAGGAGGTGCCCCTGTAAGGGCCTAGAAATTTCCTATGTAACAAACAGTAAGAGCTATTCTGCAATTCCATTTCCTGAGCTTGAATCCAGGCTCCGCCACTTTCCAACTCTGTGATGAAGAGCAAGTTACTTAATCTCTCCAAGTTTTAAACTTCTTTACTTGTAAAAATGGGGTGGTGATGATACTACCTTGTAGGGGATGTTGTGAGCATCCAACAAGTCGATCGATGTAAAGTGCTTAGAACAGTGCCTAGTGCATAGTCCGTGCTATGAAAGTGCTTAACATTATTATTATCCCTATTATTGCAACTATCATTACTATGACCTGCTGCTTCCTCAGAACCAATTGTAACCAGCAAGCAAAGGGTCAGTTCTTCTCCCTGACATGACTAAGAATATATGGGCACCTTCCTCCCCACCCCAATGCAAAAACAAGGCTCTCTAACTCATCCAAATGTAAGTCCAGAGGCTGAGGGCATGTGAATCCATTTCAAATGGTTACCTATTCAGTTTCTCCATCTGTCAGCTACATAACACTGACAGCAACAACAACAAATTGGGCCTTACCTTATTGGTTCTTGACTCTTTTTTTTTTTTATCCTAACTAACCTGAGTGATACAGTCCTCTCCCAGAGTAACATTATCTCACTGCCATTTTGAGATCAGCTTCTCTTGGGCTTTGTGGCAACCCTGTGAAGCATGTAGTGTGGATATTACAATTTTCTCAATTTTACAGATGAAGAGAACACATTTCTAAAAGGTTAAAAGAGAACTGAACTCACTCATACAGCTCTTAATGTCAAAGCTGGAAGTTTCCAGGTAGCTGGACGCTAAACCCAGGGATCATATTGGTCCATCTGGCCATACTCTAATACCTGACCATGACCCCAGTCTGCCGACAGCATGTTTCATGCAGAGGATGAAGAGGCCCCAGTATCACACCTGGATAAGGCATCTGTAACTATCTAAGGAAGACAGTCATGCTGACATTTACCTCCTTCCTTCCTCCTATTCTCCATTTCGGTCCCTGAAACTCCCAGTTGTGATGCCATGAATAAAAATGCCACTTATGCTTTTCTTGGAGTTTATATTTCATAGCCCTTTGAAGGTGGAGATAGGCAAACATCAAATTCTGTGACAGACAGATTGCAAGGCACAACCATCAAGAAACTAGAAGGTGTAGCAAGTATGTATAGTATGCCTTGTTTGTAAAATTTGCAGGTGTGCTCATCATGGGCTAGGTACAGACATATTTAAAATGTATTCAAAATCATCTGTAAAGCAACACATCAAAATAGGTAACAGTGGTTATTCTGAGGAAGGAGAGCTCAGAGACTGCTAAGGAAAAGGCAGTGTTTTTACTTCTTTTTATTTTTTTGAGACGGAGTCTCACTCTGTTGCCCAGGCTGAAGTACAGTGGCACAATCTCGGCTGACTGCAACCTCCACCTCCTGGGTTCAAGCGATTCTCCTGCCTCAGCCTCCCAAGTAGCTGGGACTACAGGCATCTGCCACCACACCCGGCTAATTGTTTGTATTTTTAGTAGAGATGGGTTTTCACCATGTTGGCCAGGATGGTCTCGATCTCCTGACCTCGTGATCCACCAGCCTCAGCCTCCCAAAGTGTTGGGATTACAGCCATGAGCCACCGCGCCTGGCCACTTCTTAGCCTTCTTTATTGTTAATATTTAAAAAACCCACAAACATGTATTAAACTTTTCATTCCTTTCAGAAAACAAACACAGTTTGGAAACTATCCAGAAGCCTGTGGGCACAGGGGCAGAATGACTGAGGTGTTTTCACAAAGTGGCTGCTAAAAAGTCTGATAATGGGCAAAGCAGGCATGAGTCTGATGAAAATTTCCCATTTTGGTACACTGCACCACCATGGCATTCCCACCGAATGGATGGAGGCAGAATTTCCATGGAACACCTCAGGAAATCTAAGCTGTCAGATTTCTATTGCATAACAGCTCCTCTGGAAAAACTCACTGATATGTCATCTTTATACCATGGACACAAGTTGGGAAGGTAATTCTTTGTTCAAATTATGATATGCTTGGGGCATGAAGGCCATAAACAGGATTAGCAGTCAGATATTTAGCTCTCACTTGGGAATAAATGGAGTTAAGTCACTTTAGTTGTACCCATTTTTATGCAAATGCTCACAATCCAAATTAGTCTCAGTCCACATCAATTCATTAGAGTTGATCCAGTCAGATCTCTCATGGGTGTACTTTGCTACTCAAGTGTTTATGTTACATAATATACTACTAATAATAAAATGATACTTAAAACATTCTATAATTTAGATGGTTACTATTAGCTCTCTTGAAAACCCTAGATCCTTTAGAATTTTCTAGATTAGAGTACAGCTTTCTAGTTACCACCCAATGATTTGGAAAACAAATTGAAAAAGAAAGAAAAAAAAAAGCCCTGACATTTTTCTCAGCCATTTTTGAATTTTGAAAGGATAATGGAAACAATCCCAGAAATAATACAAGCAAGAATATTAAGTAAACTTTAAACAAAGGCTAATATGAACACTTATTAATCCACAAAATCTGTCTGAGGGCAGAGGTGTCAGGAGATGGTGATGGGGTACTGGTCCTTGGGAGAGTGCATTGGGCGGGCTGACCACTGGAAGTCTCTTCATTACCCTTCATTCCAGGTGGTGACTGATATTCTATGATGAGCAAAAGCAAAGTGGTTGGGGGTGGGGTGGCATTTGAAACGTTTATCCTCAGCATGAACCAGGCTTCTATCAATGGGAGGGAGATTTTTGATGCTAGAGGGTGATCATAAAGAAACCCAGATTTAACCTTGTACTGACGGGACCATTGAGATGTAGCACCACTGCTTACACAGAGACAATTGTAATGCCACTGGTGTGCTCTGGGAAGGGATCACTGTCTCAAACTCAGAATGTAGACTGTATGGAGAGCACTCTTGGTAGGCGTGTTCAGAGCATCCCTAAACCCCAACATGAGACAAATTGCACTGAGGATTGCCTATTTGGAGGCCAGTAAGTTTTTAGAGAGGAAAATAACAATGCCAGTAACTTTGTGGATCCAACATCTGTTCTTAATTAAAAGACACAGTCAGGAGGAAATACAAAAAAGTTAAACCTATAAGAAAAACATTCCGCTATAACCTATTGACCTCTATTGATAATTTTTTTTTTTTAAAGTCTTTGAAACTGTGCTGTAGCCTATGTGGAAATAGTCACTCATTTTCAAAGGTAATTTCTCATAGACCACTTATCCCCTCAAACCTCTACCTGCACACCGTGTTTGCATTAGGGACTTGATTTATGGATTCCTGCTCCTTCGATGCAGAAGCTGACTTCCTGTTGCCTTGGTTACTTGAAGCTCAGTTCAAGGTTAAACTACTCCCAAATCAAAATCAGTGGCAGGCGCTGCATCTAGTGGCCAGGTTATTGACTGCCCCAGGATGCGAAAAGGTCAGAGACCAAAGCATTGTTTACTACCTTAAGGGTGAGTCAATAGCTTCAATATTTCAATTCTGTTTCTTCCGAAGTAGTAGTTGCTGCTCAATTACCTCCTCCCCAGGTTGCTGAAGGTCACAGAGGTCATGAAGGAAAAGTAGGGTCTATGGTGGCTGACTTTCGCAGGATCCCTTTAATGAGCTCTGCAACCTTGGATAATAAAAACCAGCCTCACCTTAGAGAAGCTGTATGTTGTTCTATGGTTTATAAAGCTAGTTATCTACTTTATATCATTTCTCTATCTGAAGAAAAACAAACAAAAATCTTTGTGGGATGGCTATTATTTACTACCCTTTCTTAGATAAGAAAGTCAAGGGGTTCAGAGAGGTCATGTGATCTATCTAAAATCACACAGCTGTAAGAGGTGGGACGATCTAGATTCTCTGATTCCCAGTTGGTTCTTCGTTCTGCAGTTTCTTGAAAATAAAAGAGGTGATGGAGTTATCACCAAGGGATCCATACATAATTCATTTTGTAACATCCGCTGCAGAGCACAGTATATCTGGCAGATAGTATGTGATTAATATAGGCTTGTTGAACAGTTTAATTAATTTTGTAATTCTAAGATTTGCAAATGTAGATATTTCATGGTGACAAAGCCCAGGCTGGCATGGTGGAAGAGGCTGACACCACTGGGATGGTTGGTCCCTTTAGTCATCTTTCTGGCTCCCTTTACACTGCAGAAGGCAGATTTT